ATTTATTTTCTGAATTATTTTACACTTATATATATGTAGTAAAATATTTTCAATATATTAAAAAATTTTTAAATCGCCGAAATATATTTTATCATTTTTCTATATTCCAATATATATATATATATATATATATATATTGTATTATAAAAAATTGATATTGATATATTTGAACTCTAATTTACTGGATGATATACTGAACATCCATTGATTGATTATATATTACTCAACGGTACGTTCTTTCACGTTATAAGTTATTGGAGCAAATTATACAATAGCATCAATAATCAAAAAGAAATCAAGAATAATCAACATATCCCTTATATAATATATATATATATATATATATATATATATATATATATACGCACATATGTGCATAAGGATATATAAAATTTATAAAAAGTAGGTACTTATTAGCCTTGCTACGCTACTGCCTTCTGCTACGGAAGGCCAGAAAGCATTTTCAGGCGGCATCTCGCGTATACCGGCACGGTAGAGGAACAAGAACACGTGATTATCGGTCCTTGTCTCTCTACGGTGCGTCCGCGTGAGCAATGCAATGGTGTATGTACGTGTACAGACATGCACCACTACATAAAACCCGAGAATTGGTTTCTCGGCGTTGGCAACATTGAAATCGGAGTTTCGCGTTGTCACCGCGCGAGGTCTCCAACATCAATTCGGAGTTTGGCCGACCGACCTGTCGACCCTTAACGCAATAGAAACTTCTTGGTTGTGACAAAATATAATCGGTTCGGCCGGTAAAAGTAGATTTGGCATTCCCGTTTGAGCTACAGCAGAGAAGAAAAAGTTAATCAATACCACAGATTAATAGACAGATCGCCAAAGGCCTGCCTAAAGAAGAGACCGCATCTTCGTGCGATAGACTTTGCCCCTTACCGACACACTTTGCCCCTGGTTCGAGTCCGTGCTAAATTTCGTAGACTTGAACCAGAGAGAAAGATGAGAGCGGCCAGGCCGGCGTTTTGGCTGTTACCGTTTTTACGGGACTGCTTGAAGCGCCCCTCGCACCCGTTTTTAATATCGGAACTAACTGCACACCCATTTTCTGGCAGGGTCGATAAAGTTTGTATTTGGTGCGAGTCCGTGCTACGCCCATAATTTTCGTGTTAACACAGTATCACGTATTCATTCTGTATATGTGCGATCTTTTCTCTTTATTTATATATATATATATATATATATATATATATGTATTTATATAATTTGTATAAAAACTAAAATATAATTATTAAAATATATATATATATGTATATGTGTAATGAAATATATAAATCTTATTTTAATTAAAATAAAAAGAACGATTAATTGTTCGACCACCTGGATTTTGGAATGTAATTTTTAATATATATTATATTATATTTAATATTTATCGCCGCTTCTATTAATATGAAGTGCAATGTCAACGTGCAATAATGTACAATTATTTAAAGTTTCCATGCCTAATGTATCATGCCGGTATAAAAGAACGTCAAGTAGCATGCGTAGCCGAGCAACTAAGATGACGAGCTGAAATCGTGGACATTTCAAGTTCAAACCCCTGCCTTTTTCAGATTTTTTTTTCACTTTTTTCAAATAAGTTATTATGTGTATAAATGTGTAATAATCAATATATCATTATTTGATAATTTTTTTGTAATGGAACAAAATAAATTATTTTTTAATTCTGCAAGGAATTTAATTATTAATGCAAACGCCCACACACATAATTTAGATATTCAATTTTTTTTAGTTCAAATGTTTCTTGCAATCTGTATACGACAATCAGTCCACTCGCTGTGCCACAGATTGCATCGCATAATACGCTCAGAGTTATAATACGATAGAGATCGCTTTACGCTGTTTTTCCTTGAAATAAATAAATTTTACGTGTTGTGTACGCGTGTTTAGTATATTTGTTTCTTTCATATTAATTTTAACTATAATTAGTTTTTTAATTAAGATTATTTTAGTGTTAGTTGTTTATTTGTTAGTGTCCTGTTTTCTTTAATTTCGCATTTTTTAATTTTCTTTTTTTTTGGTGTTGGTGCTAATTATTATTTTTATTTTACAATGTCGAGTAAACACCGGTTTTACGATAAATGTGTGTATTTAAATTGCACAAATATTAGGACAAAAGATGGAAAACGTTTATTTCGATTTCCATTACAAACGGGTGCGAGACATGATTTATGGTTACGCAATAGTGGTGAGTTTATAAAATTGATTTACTTATTTATATCAATATATAATATATATTGATATGATATATGAAACAAATATATATATATATTCTTTGTTTTTTTAATAAAATATGTCAGATATTATGTATGTTTACGTATGGATTACGTTGAAGTGTTTCTTTGCCGCGTTTTTCTGATCTCGCCGAACGGTTCGCGAATCCTGTGCGAATAAAAAACGATGCGCGTGTGTGTGTGCGTGCGATTGTGATGATCAGTTTCAGTTCGTCTTCAACGCTTGACGAGAGAAGAGGTCCCGAACTGCTGTAAGTTTATAAAAACATATTTTTGTATAACACATTAGAACGATTTTATATTATTTTTTTTGTCTAGAAAACGTTATATTAATAACCGTTATGAAAACGATCTCGACGACGGCGTCACCGGTGTCGCCGTCGTCGAGATCGTTTTCATAACGGTTATTAATATAACGTTTTCTAGACAAAAAAATAATATAAAATCGTTCTAATGTGTTATACAAAAATATGTTTTTATAAACTTACAGCAGTTCGGGACCTCTTCTCTCGTCAAGCGTTGAAGACGAACTGAAACTGATCATCACAATCGCACGCACACACACACGCGCATCGTTTTTTATTCGCACAGGATTCGCGAACCGTTCGGCGAGATCAGAAAAACGCGGCAAAGAAACACTTCAACGTAATCCATACGTAAACATACATAATATCTGACATATTTTATTAAAAAAAACAAAGAATATATATATATATTTGTTTCATATATCATATCAATATATATTATATATTGATATAAATAAGTAAATCAATTTTATAAACTCACCACTATTGCGTAACCATAAATCATGTCTCGCACCCGTTTGTAATGGAAATCGAAATAAACGTTTTCCATCTTTTGTCCTAATATTTGTGCAATTTAAATACACACATTTATCGTAAAACCGGTGTTTACTCGACATTGTAAAATAAAAATAATAATTAGCACCAACACCAAAAAAAAAGAAAATTAAAAAATGCGAAATTAAAGAAAACAGGACACTAACAAATAAACAACTAACACTAAAATAATCTTAATTAAAAAACTAATTATAGTTAAAATTAATATGAAAGAAACAAATATACTAAACACGCGTACACAACACGTAAAATTTATTTATTTCAAGGAAAAACAGCGTAAAGCGATCTCTATCGTATTATAACTCTGAGCGTATTATGCGATGCAATCTGTGGCACAGCGAGTGGACTGATTGTCGTATACAGATTGCAAGAAACATTTGAACTAAAAAAAATTGAATATCTAAATTATGTGTGTGGGCGTTTGCATTAATAATTAAATTCCTTGCAGAATTAAAAAATAATTTATTTTGTTCCATTACAAAAAAATTATCAAATAATGATATATTGATTATTACACATTTATACACATAATAACTTATTTGAAAAAAGTGAAAAAAAAATCTGAAAAAGGCAGGGGTTTGAACTTGAAATGTCCACGATTTCAGCTCGTCATCTTAGTTGCTCGGCTACGCATGCTACTTGACGTTCTTTTATACCGGCATGATACATTAGGCATGGAAACTTTAAATAATTGTACATTATTGCACGTTGACATTGCACTTCATATTAATAGAAGCGGCGATAAATATTAAATATAATATAATATATATTAAAAATTACATTCCAAAATCCAGGTGGTCGAACAATTAATCGTTCTTTTTATTTTAATTAAAATAAGATTTATATATTTCATTACACATATACATATATATATATATTTTAATAATTATATTTTAGTTTTTATACAAATTATATATATATATATATATATATATATATATATATATATATAAATAAAGAGAAAAGATCGCACATATACAGAATGAATACGTGATACTGTGTTAACACGAAAATTATGGGCGTAGCACGGACTCGCACCAAATACAAACTTTATCGACCCTGCCAGAAAATGGGTGTGCAGTTAGTTCCGATATTAAAAACGGGTGCGAGGGGCGCTTCAAGCAGTCCCGTAAAAACGGTAACAGCCAAAACGCCGGCCTGGCCGCTCTCATCTTTCTCTCTGCTATTAATCTGTGGGTGCGTTCCGTTATGCACTGCAAGTACTGACAGTACTACCAATAGCGTTCCGATATAGATAGCAGTGCACTGCGAAAGTACTATCATGAGTATATGACGTCATTAATTTTGACGTTATTTCCTGTTGCGATTACTGCAACCGGCGAGGTAAAGCACTCGCAGTAATCAAGATGGCTACCTCCATGTGTACGATGGAACTAACTTTTAAATTCCATATCTGAATATAATGATACAATATTTTTAACGTAATTTTTACATTTTATTCTAGGTATTTTAATTTGTCGTCTCATTTCATTTATTAATTCCATTTCCAAATCGCTTTCACTTGATGACTCACTCGAATCATATATATTCTCGATTAAATTATATGTAATTAATGCAATAATGGTATTATCCATTTCACCAATTTTTCATTCGATGATTATTAGCGAAAAAGGTTAGTTAAAAGTCTGCTGAAAGCGTAATGTAGTGCGTTCCGTTTTACTATTTTGCAGTAGCTTCAAAGTGCACAAAATTAAAAAGGAACGCTGTCAACAGTACACTTGCATGACGTCATAGTGCCAGTACTTGCAGTGCATAACGGAACGCACCCTGTGTCGATACCTTAGTCTTCTCGAAATAGGGAATTAATTTTTTAAGTCGGTAAATTCGGAGTTTCTCCTTGTCACCGCGAGAGGACTTCGACATCTAGTTAGGAGTTTGGAGTTTGGAGTCTGCCCGTTCTCGTTTCCGCTTCTGTCCATTGTATAAGATATTTTCGTAATAAATTCTTCTAACCGGTCGCACGCAAAATCGTCGACCCACGAATCCATGATCGAAATAGCGTGATAATAACAACAATAATAATAATTCGAAAAAAATACCGGTGATATAAAATATTCGTGATATGCTTAATGAAGTAGTTGAAAATCATATGCTATTGATTGGGTGTCTGATTGGTTAAGCCGAGTGTTTAATGCAAGCATGGCCGCCCTACCGTCACCTACGCAGGTACATTTGTAATTTTCATGGATTTTACGGGAGACGTATCGTTATTCCGTAATAATATTCGTGCGCGCACCGAAAAGGTTTCTTGCCCGAAATTTTTTCATAATCTGCGCCAATTATCGCGTTCCCTTGTCGCTAAATTTTCGCTCTTTTTATCAGGATGTCTTGGCTCCGATTTGATGGCGGAGTTGTATATCATTTTACATATATCTACAATAAATTGTTACTGACCCGGAAAAAAAATATTCCATATTATGCGCGATTTTTTTTATTTTATTTTTTTCATTGATCTTATTTGACAAAAAAAAAATAAACATTTAATATAAATAATAAATTGCTTGAAATTTTTATAAGTACAATGATAATTTATAATAAATATAACTAATTTGTGAACTTAATATATAAAATTGATAAATTAATAATAAATTTTTTGCTATTCTGTTATTTTCTTATTGAATTATTTGTATACATTATTTATTATTTTATTTATTTATTATTTATTATTTAGTTTTATTTTCTGATACAAATAGATTAATCAGAAAATATGAATGCCATTCTTTTACAGGTGGCTGGAAGCCATAGTGCGATCTACGAAGCTTATTACAATCAGGTATATAATCTATAATAAAAGAACAAATTATTTTTGTAAGATGTAGCAAGCAATTACAATTATATAAAAATATCATTTATTGCTTGTAGGTTGATCCGAATGGATATGGACAAATCGAAGCAATGGATGCTGCTAGATTTCTAAAGAAATCTCAGCTCAGCGATGTGATTCTCAGCAAAATATGGGACATGGCGGATCCACAATCACGTGGTTTCTTAGATAAGTCTGGCCTCTTTGTAGCTTTAAAACTGTGCGCATTAGCTCAGACAGGAAAGGACTTGAATATGTCTAATTTAAGTCTTGAATTGCCGCCACCAAAAATGGTAAATTTACCTGCTGGAAATTACATGTTGGTTATTTAACTGGCATAAATGCTATATATAGGATATTTTTTCTTTATCAGGGAGACATTCCAGTTATTCCTCAGAAAACTATTACTAACGCTCTACCAGTGATAAAATCTATCAACAATGGAGATTGGTCGATTAATCCTACAGAACGGGCAAAATACGATCAACTTTTGATAGCTTACAGCCATCTAATGGATATATTTCTGGAAATAAAGTAAAGGTGTTCTTATGGATAGCAAACTTCCTTTAGATACTCTTGGAAAAATTTGGGACTTGGCAGATATGGACAAGGATGGTATGCTGGATAGACATGAATTTGTAGTTGTAAGTATGTCGCTAATAATGTTCTAAAATTATTGGAATTAACTAAACATTTTTTACATATGGACTAAATAATTTTTGCCTATTTTATGTAGTATTATTTCAAAGTGTAATTTATTTGAGCAATTATTGATTTTTTGTTGTATATATTGGAATATACTTTTTATATAAAAATGTACTTTCTGTATTGTTGTATTGTTCATTTTCTATAGCAAATATTGCTGAGTTTTTATATCAAATAAGGATAAATATTACTTATATTCAATGTTACATCTTTTTTCCTATATTCTCATACTTGACTGTGATTGATCGATTTCTTATTAAGGTAATTTCTGATTGTTATTATACAGGCCATGCATCTTGTATATAAAGCATTGGAAAAATATGCGATACCAAGTGTACTTCCACCAGAATTAATGCCACCCGGTAAGAGAAAAGAGATTCCTAAGGCTAAATCTCCTGTACCAATGGGCATTGTAGCTTCAGCATCACCATCCTCGCAACCACCACCAATCCCACCTTTACCAAATGCGACGGCTGTAAAGAACCTGACTGGATTAGACACTATAAAAGTATTTATCTCTCTTGGATTTTAATTAGGGTGTATACTCCTTGGAAAAATGGAAAATCTAGAATTTTCAGGAAATTTTGTTTTTTACTTTGAAAAATCCTGGAATTATCATAGAATTTGATTTGAACTTAGGGAATTAAAAAAAAATGCCCCTTTGATTTTAAAATATAGTTTTAAAGAATATAAAATTTATTAGTTTTATATAAAGTATATATTAAAATATATTATATTTTAATATAATATTATATTACATTATTTATTAAAAAAATACTTCATTTATGTTAAAAAATTATGTATAACATGTAAACTTATTTCAAAATTGTATTCTAAATATTATTAAAATACTTCAATTTTACTTGGAATTTTGAACAAAAGTACTTGGAAAATCATGAAATCCTCAGGAAATTTATTTCTAAGATTTGAGTATACACTCTGTTTAATTTAAAAATAAAAAACACGTTACATTTCTAAAATCTTTTACATATTTACAGACAGGCGCACGGCAATGGGTTGTTTCGATCGAGGATCAAATAGTGGCGGAGAAGTTGTTTTTACAAGCTGATCTAGATAGGGATGGATTTGTCTCTGGCTTGGAAATCAAAGACGTCTTCCTACAAAGTGGACTTCCGAATACTGTATTAGCGCATATATGGTGAGAGAAAAAGTGCGAAGTTCTATAACAATTTGTCGAAAATTAATAATGATGATCATAATAGAGATGTATTTAATATCGAATTTACAGGAGTTTATGTGATATTTCTCAAAGCGGAAAGCTGAATAAGGAACAATTTGCCTTAGCTATGTGGTTTATTAAGCAAAAGCTCAATGGCATGGACTCTCCGATGAGTTTAACTCCTGAAATGATACCACCTTCTATGCGAAAAGTTGGAGAAACCATTGTGGTAAGTTATTCAAATATTTTATTTAACAATAATATTTATTAATTATTTCTGTGTGTGTGTGTGCGCGTGTATGTTTGTACATTTTACAAATTATTGAGTGGTTTAATTTGCATCGTTACACAATTTTAATGCATTGTGTATCGCATCCGTCCTTTGAACGCTCTCCAGAACATTATCAAAACTACAATAATTATGAGGACAGCGCCAATTAAAATAATATAGTGATTTACTTTGACTTCTACTTCTCCAGTCACATTCAATTTGATTATTCCAATAATTTCATTATTTTGCCAGCAACTAATAATGGAAAGAAATTTTTTACTATTGTCTACAGATTTTATTAATAATTTTTATACAGATACAATATTTAAGAAAAAACTTAAATTGTGGAAAATTAATTTTCCCAAAAATGCATCATTATTTACAGCTGGCTCTTTATTGGGAGAATTTTAAATTTGATTTACCTATATATATTAGCGTCGTCAAACTTTAACGATTCAAAGACTATATGTAACTGGGAATTAATATAAATTTTTCCATTTGATTGAAGTTTGATACGAGATGGAATTATTGCTTTATCACCAATCCGCCAAACAATTGGGATATCCGTATTCAGATTTCTAAAGTATTAATAAAATTAAATATTTTTTATTCTTATCATGATTGAACAATTTTTATAATGTGAGTTTTTATATTATATTGACATGTAAGTTTTATATTACCCTGGACAGATGAGTTTGAGCCTTTTCTTATATTTTTCATAAATTACATTATGTGTGATTGATGGTAATGATTGAGGCATTCCTTGAATTATAGAATATATACCGGCACTATTGTTCGCACTTTCAAGAATGTTACCCCTTTCATCGCGCACTTCAAATATCACGTTACTATGGCATTTTTTCTACATAAGAATAAATGTATTTTATTTATATTTATTGAATTTTTATCAAAGTTTCTGGTTCCTTATTGTAATCATGTTAATTAATAACATCAATCAAGAAAACATTTTTTCCTTGCATGTTGCATAATACTTTCCTTTTATACTAAAAAAGTTTTTTCTATACTACTTTTATTTATAATATATAATTTTATTTGATAAAATATTCTAAAGAGTGAAAATTTTTCCTCTTCTCGATTTATGAATTGGATAACAAATTTTTAATTTTTAATTTTATTAAAAAAATTTTTTTATCACAAATAAATTTTATCATAAAAGATTTTATTGTAAATCTGTAACACATGTAAATTGTATTTATTTATGTAAATTAAAAAAGTTTTTGACACGTTTTATTAATTTACTACTCAACATGAATGATGACATGTAAAGAAATTATTTTTTTTTCTTGACATGTAAAGAAAAAAATTCATACATTATATATATGTATATATAAATATAACATATATACAGGGTGTCCCATAATTCGCGAACCACCGCGAATGGGCAGATAGAGCGTGTTAAACTAAATAGAAAAATCCTGTATCATTTTGCGATATTCGCAATAATTATTGAGTTATTTATTAAAATATCTAAACGAATAAGCAGGTAGAAAGCATTATTTGATCGAGAGGCGGCGTCATGCAGCGAGCGGCGACCAATGTAGTGGCGCCGAAAAGTAAGATGATACTTTTGATACTAAGCGGCATATAACAAATAAGTCATTTGACATGCACACCGAGTCCGGCCTACCGCTTTCTACTCGCTCATTCGTTTAGATATTTTAGTTAATAACTCAATAATTATTGCGAATATCGCAAAATGATACAGGACTTTTCTATTCAGTTTAACACGCTCTATCTGACCATTCGCGGTGGTTCGCGAATTATGGGACACCCTGTATATAATATTACACACACACACAGACACAACACACACACACACGCACGCACGCACGCACGCACGCACGCACGCACGCACGCACGCACGCACGCACGCACGCACGCACGCACGCACGCACGCACGCACGCACGCACGCACGCACGCACGCACGCACGCACGCACGCACGCACGCACGCACGCACGCACGCACGCACGCACGCACGCACGCACGCACGCACGCACGCACGCACGCACGCACGCACGCACGCACGCACGCACGCACGCACGCACGCACGCACGCACGCACGCACGCACGCACGCACGCACGCACGCACGCACGCACGCACGCACGCACGCACGCACACGCACGCACGCACGCACGCCACGCACGCACGAACGCACGCACGCACGACGCACGCACGCACGCGCACGCACGCACACACCAACACAGGGTGAGTCATTTTAATCAACGCACGTAAATATCTGTATAGTAAACAAGATGGAAAAAAATGTTTCAAACAAAAGATTTTTGACTATGAGGGGAACGTAATATATATATATATATATATATATATATTACATTTCAATACAGTTTAGGAGAAAGAACCAGGAGTTTTAATAAATAATTTAATGCAAATACCTTGCAGTAGCGTCTCATAATTTTAGTGCTTCTATTCTTAATAATCGACATTAATTGTATTTTTTTTGGCACAAGACTCGATTTGCATGGTAATTTATTTTTAAATAACAATAATGCTGTTTTTAATTGAACTTCCGAGTTTAAATTTACTAATGTCGTTTGAATATCCTCATGCGTCTGATTTGTTCATATTTTTCAGCTTAAAGTAAAATTAGTATAAAAGAGCGAAAAAATTTCTCTTTTTATTTACTTTCACATTTTCTTCAGAGGGTCCCATTTTAAAAAGTTCACACAAATTATCTTTGATAAAAGCATTTTAAAGAAAAATTGTTTTAAAGAAAAGTTATAGAATTTTTTCTTTAAAGGGCGAGTTTCAAGGTCATTTGAAGGTCATTTATGTTTTTAAATGGAGCCTTAATTTTTTTTATATAAATTGATTACATAATGAAATACATAATTCATTATTACATAATGAAAAACATGTTAGAAAGAGAGAAATCGCAGAGATGTTTTTTATCAAAAAAGTTAACAATACAGTTAACCTACTTAAAGACACAGAATTTAAACATCTATGACAAAATTATAAAGGTCGTATAAAACTCTACATACTCAGTTTTTGACGATCCTAAACGATAAGATGTGGTTTCAATCTTTCAAAAGTTCTTTCAGAAGTTTTTTCAAATGTTTAAAAAAAAATTCCGATATAATCACATTGTTTAATAATGACAACAGTGTCAACTAACTGCGCTTTTATTAAGAAAGTATGTAAATTTTAATTTTTGCGTTTAACATCAAAATGTTTATCTGTATTAATCTTAATTAATTGTATCATTCTAGTTTTTCACTTGAAAAGGACCAAAAACAGATAGTCGAAACGTTGTGGAAATAAAATAAAAAGTTTCTTTGGCTAGTTTGGGTCGAATTTAATATATCGTTCCTATTTTATGATATATTTCACAATTTATGTAAAATTATGTATAAAACTAAAATATAAAATATCTTATAAACTATTCACTTTTTGGTCATCTTAATCTTATAACTTTTTATGTCAAAAATACAAAGAATCGCTTTATATAAAAAAATTAAAATAATTCTATTTAAAAAATACAACAAAAATAACCTTCAAATGACCTTGAAAATCGTCTTTTAGGGAAAAGTCAGCATCGTCAACTTCTTTCCCTCGAAAAAAATCGATTTATATAAAAAAATTAAAGTAGTTTTATTAAAAAAAAAACACAAAAAAAATGACCTTTAAATGACCTTCAAGTGACTTTGAAAATCGTCCTAGGGGAAAAAGTCAGTATCGCCATTTTTTTTCCTCTCAAAATCCTATAAATTTTGTTCTCCAAAATGCATTCAAAGATAAAATTTGCGTGAATTTTTCGAAATGGAACACCCTGTATATTTGTTAATTAACAATTGTACTTTCGTTGACGAATATTATTTCATTCGCTGATGTTTCTGAAAGGGAAATAGTACAGTAACCATATCGAAGCTTGATTTCCAACCGCATCACACACAGAGCAGGGATTCAACTTGTCCAACAGTGTAACCTTTAGTTTGTAATTTAACATTTCGATCGACGCTGCTTCTGTGATATTTGAATGTAGATCCTCCGTCCTGCTGTCGACATGTAAATGATGAGCCGATCCCACAGTATCTCCCATTTCACACAATACACTCCCTCTTGCTCTGACTTTAAAGAAGGGATCTTGTTTTTGCACCATCGTATTTGTACATCACACTTGTACATGCCTTAAATTTATACCTTGACGTTATGCATGACGATGTATTGGTTGTCTGGTGAATTGAAAATGTTATTGACATCTTGTACTATATCTTTGACAATT